AATATATTAAACCCGGTGACAACCCCCCCCCCCCCAACCCGGCCGGTTTCCTGCGAGAGAGGAAAAGGCGCTCCTCCGCAAAGCGTCCCCCTCCCCTCTTTGCAAGATCCCAAAACCGTGAAGAGAAGTTAAAAGTTTTTAAGAACTTGGCCGGTCGTTGCGACGGCAGAAGGCAGCCCCCCGCCCCGCTCCGAAGTGCAGAGACGGCAGAAGAGCTCGCCATCCTTCTCCGCCTCCCAACTTCCCCACCGGAATTTTCCCGTGACGGAGAAAGAAGGAAGGAAGGAAGCACCTCCGAAGAGAAGGAGTACCCCCCCCGACACTTAGTATATGCCCCCCTCCAGCCACAAAATGGCGGGAGGAGCTTGAAGTGTGTTTATTTCACCACCACCCCTTTCGTTCCTCAACTCAGTTTAAGACGGTGAAAGTACAAAGGAAGCAGGAGAAGGGGGGGGGGGGGAGGTTAACAAGCGCTCCCGCTTTTAAAAAATTCAAGACCTTTTTTCCCCCACCTCGGCCACTCACCCTTGCCTACAGCCGTCTCGTCCTTTTAAATCCCCTCACTTAAAAAAAAAAAATAAAGAAAGAATTCCTCAGGGGTTGACTGGAACGGCCACAGAGCATGCGCGGAATCACGGGGGCGCGAGCCGTTCCGGCCGCGGGCCGTCAACGAAGCATTGGAGGGAGGGGCGCCAGGCTGAGGCGGAGGGAAGGTCCGAGCGGATTGGCGGATCTCTTGAAGAGCGGGGGCGGGGCTTACATTCGGTAGGGGGCGGGTTCTTGGAGAATAGCTTCATAAACAGTACACTAATTGTAACACTTTGGTCATGAAGTGATGGAGATGACTGCAGTCCTAAGGATGCTTTCCTGAGAGTAAGCCTCATTGAATAAAACATGGCTTACTTTTGAAGCAACCTGTTTAGGATTATTCCCATCCCATCAGAGCTGGTTTAGGGGAGCCTGGATAGACAGTGGCCAGGAGCCTCTGGTTGCCCACCCACCACCAGGCCCCTCATGCTTCCTTTTCCACTATGCTAGCCCCCCCATATGTCCATGTGCATCCTTCTCCCCATATGTCCATGTGCATCCTTCTCATACCCACAAGCTGTCCCACCACTCATGTGCAGTTGCCTTTGCACACCCTTTGCCAACAACATCCAGTAGTCCCTGCAGATGATTACCAACCTCCAGGTGGGGCCTGGAGATGCCCCCAGAATTATGGTTTTACCATTGAGATGAAGGAATTCGTAGAATGCTGTGATGTCATTTCTAGGTACTCAGCTGGAAGTGACATCGCAACATTGTACAACATTACTGCCCAAGTCCCTGCCCCAAAATTCTCCCATTCCACTGAGGACTGTAGAGCACAGGTGGTACAGTACTTGAAGCAAAAAGATGGGAAAGGGTAAGAAGAAAGGTAGCAGGAGAGATGTGTGGATGGGGGTGGTCAGCAGCAGTGGGCCCCACCAAAGCCTTGGGCCCTGGCACCTGCCCCACTTTAGGGTATGCTGACACCAACCCTGGCTCTCACCAACACTGTCAGTGTGAATAGTTAGGATTACCATTCATGTTATTGATTGTACTGTACTGTGGCAAACAGCTTGTGTTGGAGAAAGCCCTTTCCAAATTATTAATATAAGCATGATTAATAATGCTACAGTACCAACTTATGCTTAGCAAAATCTTTTTCAAATTATTAATACTACTGGTAATATTGTGGCAAGTGCTGGTGTTTAATAAAGCTTTTAACAAATTACTAATATTGATGATGATACTTCATCAACAATTTGCATTTATGAAAGTTCTTTCTGAATGGTTAATGGTAATATTGATCATGTTTGGCAAAAGCTAAGGTTTAAGAACTTTCCAAACTATTAATATTAATAACATGTCAGAACATATCAGGAACATATCCAAAGGAAAGCTGCATTAGATTTAGATGAAAGTGGAGTTAAAAATCGGAGTTAACATTTGGATATTAACAATTTGAGATATATGACCCCAGATGGCTGAAAAAAAGTGAAGACTTGAAATGACTACAGATGAAGGTTAAAGCAGAAGGTGCCAAAGCAGGATTACATCTGAATATCAAGAAGACAACAGTAATGACTGCTGAGGAATTACACAATTTTAAGGTTGATGATGAAGAAACTGAAGTTGTTTTTCTATTCTTTGACTCAGTCATCAGCCAAAAGGGAGGCTGCAACCAAGAAATCAGAAGGTGACTGAGAATGAGAAGGGCAGCCATGAAGGAGCTAGAAAAGACCCTTAAGTATAAAGATGGGTCGCTGCTGACCGAGAAAATTCATACTATAGTATTCCCCATTACTATATATGTGTGTGAAAGTTGGACAGTGAAGAAAGCAGCCAGGAAGAAAGTGGATTCATTTGAAATGTGGTCTTGAAGGAGAGTTCTACGGATACTGTGGGCCACAAAAAAGAAAAACAAGTGGGTTCTTGTTCAAATCAAGCCTGAACTCTCCCTGGAAGCTAAAGTGGCTCAACTGAGTCTATCGTACTTTGGTCACATTATGAGAAGACAAGAGTCATTAGTAAAGACAATAATGCTAGGAAAAGTTGAAGGCAGCAGGAAAAGAGGAAGATACCCCAACATGAGATGGGTTGATTAAATGAAGGAAGCCAGGCCCTCAGTTTGCAAGACCTAAGCAAGGCTGTTAACAATAGGACATTTTGGAGGACATCATAGGGTTGCCATAAATCGGAAGCAACTTGATGGTGCATAACACATCAGGAACAACATATATTTAGGAAAGTCTTTTTTCAAATTATTAATGCTAATATTAATAATGATTCACCCACAGCTTGTATTTAAGAAAGGCTTTTCCATATTATAAATACTGTTGCTTTAGTGACAGTTTGTATTTAAGATATGTATACATATAAGTGCCGCCAAGTCAGCCTCATAGCCAGGAATTCTTCGGGGGCCCTCTATGGTTTTCCCTTGTATGGACATGGCCCCGCCCCCAGTGTGCCTGGCGTCCTCCCGTCACTTCCGGGTGACGTGTGTGCGGCGCGCGCACAAGACGCCAGCCGGGAGCCCCCCGCTCCCGGCGAAGATACACTTGGCAACCCTAGGATCAGTTGTAAAAGCAGGAGATCCCCAGGCCCCACCTGGAGGCTGGCAACCCTATCCGTTCTCAGCTTTGCCACACATGCCCCAGCAGCCATGCCTGACCAGGACTCCTGGCCTAACGTGGTTTTCTTTTTAATAAACACTTTATAACTTTAAAAAAAAGGAAAGGAAAATGCTTCCAGTTTTTTCCAGACCCAGATGGTCGGGATGGATTTCAGCCCAGCTGCCCTCAGCAATGCCCTATGCAGCTCAATGGGGCTGCTCTGGAGTAACCAGCCCCATAGCCAGGTCTTGGAGAGCTCTCCAAGAGCCAACTTCCTGGCTGGAGCTGAGGCTTGCTGGGGACTCACTGGGGCTCTGAGGACTCATTGGTGCTGGGGCTCACCCCTAATCCATAGTGTGGTGTATTCAATGCAATGGAAAACTGTGTTTGAAATCACTAATTGAAACACCATGTAAAGCTTCGTCCTGGGCAAGAATCCTAATCATTCAATCCCTATTGGTAGCCCAGGAAGAGCTGACCAATCACCTACCATCCAGTTCCCTGAGCGGGAACGTCTGTGATTGGATGTTATCTTGACAATCCTATTGGTTGTAATGTACAGTAGGGCTTGGCTACATTAGCCGGGAGAGTTTAAAAAGAAGCACAGCTACAATGCAAAAGCTGTTCTGGTTATTCTGTTTATGGTTGTATTTCGCGTTGCTCAATAAAGCTGAATCATTAGCTGAAGTCACTCTCTGACTCTTTGTTAAGTAGTCGACTTAACACATAGAGAGCAGAGCCCCTAAAGCTCTACTGAAGGCTATGGCCCTGCATCAAGTAGCAACCAACCAGCAAGGGGCTTTCAAGGCAAGTGAGAAGCAGAGGTGGTTTGCCATTGCATTTCTCTGCAGGGTCTTCCTCAGTGGTCTGCTATCAAAGTGCCCACCCTGCTTAGCTTCCAAGATCTGATGAAATTTGCCTATACCATGCCATTCCACACTGCTTGTAATTAAGATACATGTTTCTGAATTATTAATACTAATATGAATAATGACTTGGCAACAACTAGTATTTATTTAGAATAAGAGATATCTTTGAATAGCGAAAACAACATTGTAAGCAGTGCAGTCCAAAGGTTAGAAAGGTATTTTGTGTTATAAATGGGATAGGGTTGTAGTAAAGGAGGACAGCCTTTTTCTGATGTAAATGGGATTCTAATTCTACTTTCTGTAAAACATTTGGGATGTTATCTTTTATTCTTATGTATTATGCTGTTTGTATAGCATTATTTTCTAATTTTCTATTTCAGGTATATATCTCTTTTTGCATTAGTAGTAGTATGTACTAAACAGTTTTCACTTCATTGTTCATTGTATATATTATACTGTTTTTATTGCATTGTCATTGAATTCTGTAATCCATCATGAGTGTCAATGAGAAAGGTGGACTATAAGTGAAGTAAACAAATAAAATATTTATATCCTACCTCCCTTCCCACAATTAAAGGAAGAAAATAATGTATATAGTGAAATAGTGCTACCTGTTTTGTTTTTTCTTTCTTTCACTTTAAATCTATGCTATTTTAAATTGTTTTTAATTATTCTGTACATTTTCATTGGAGCTGCTGTGGCTCAAGTGGTTAAGATGCTGAACTGCAGGCTGTGGAAGGTCAGTAGTTCAGCAGTTCGAGACCCAGGTTGCCGCATGACGGTCTGGTTCCAGCTCCTGCCAACCTAGCAGTTCGAAAGCAAGAAATTGCAAGTAGATAAATAGGTACCTGCCAAGGAACGCTCAAACTATTGCACAATTGCACTCATATCACACGCTAGCAAGGTCATGCTCAAGATCCTACAAGCTAGGCTTCAACAATACGTGGATAGAGAACTACCAGAAGTACAAGCTGGATTTCGAAGAGGTAGAGGAACTAGAGATCGAATTGCCAACATTCGCTGGATTATGGAGAAAGCAAGAGAGTACCAGAAAAATATCTACGGCCCCGGTCACACGGGCAGGAAACTGCGGGGGGGAAGCGTGGCTGTTTGCCCTGGGGCAAACTAACACGCAGTAAAGCGATCATACCTCCTGTGGAGGTTCTGTGGAGGTACCGTGGAGCTTCTGTGGTTACGGAGAGGCGTCGATCACAACACATGCCTGCGCGCAACGAAGAAGCGCGCGGCGCGGCGAACTAGTTTTCTTGTTTTGTGTTCACTACGAATGCGCATGCTCCGTTGGGTGCATGTGCGCAACCACGGGGACTTGGGGGGAAAAAA